TTGTTTGTTTGTTTTTTCCCAGAGTGTCTTGGCTTTCCATGCCTGAAATACTCTCATGGGCTTTTCAGCCGGATCCGCATGCCTTAAGGGCTGATTCTGAGGCCAGAGTGCTGTTTAGGACATCCGCCATTCTATGGGTCTGCTGTGTATCTCACTTCCCATGTTGGATTGTTCTCTCCCTTTTTGATTCTATGAGCTAGTATTTGCAGACACTATTCTTGTTTATGTGATCCCTTTGATTCTTAGTCCTATCATTATGATCAATTGTGAACAGAAATTGATCACTGGGACTAGTGAGACGGCATTGGTACATGCCACCTTGATGGGATTGAATTGGAATCCCCTGGTATGTTTCTAACTCTACTGTTTGAGGCAAGTCAGCTTGAGCATGTCCCGAATTGCACATCTCTTCCCTCTCTTATTGCCACTCTTATATTTAACAGCGATCACTTTTCACACTTTTCAGGTAAGCACTTTTTTTTTTTTTGTGACAGTCAGAGTGGACAGTGAGAGAGAGAGACAGAGAGAAAGGTCTTCCTTTGCCATTGGTTCACCCTCCAATGGCCGCCGCGGCTGAAGTGCTGCGGCCGGCACACCGTGTTGATCCGAAGCCAGGAGCCAGGTGCTTTTCCTGGTCTTCCATGGGGTGCAGGGCCCAAGCACTTGGGCCATCCTCCACTGCACTCCCTGGCCACAGCAGAGAGCTGGCCTGGAAGAGGGGCAACCGGGACAGAATCTGGCGCCCCAACCGGGACTAGAACCCAGTGTGCCGGCCCCACAAGGCGGAGGATTAGCCTATTGAGCCACAGCGCCGGCCTTGCAACTTCTTATTTAGAGTCAAGTAGGCTGTGCATGGTCCTGGAGAAGAGAGACAGTGCAATTATGCCCTACATACATGTGCCTGGGAAATTTTTGACACTTGTGCTAGTTTCTACAGCCCTGAGCTGGTCATACCTTTCAGCCCTGTCTTCCTGAGCAGCTCAGTGTAACCAAAACTCTGCCCCATCCTGTACATTAGCTGCTCAGCCTCTTTGAGAACACCCCTCAACACACACACACCTGCCAACCTACCCATCCTAGAAGCAGAAGCAAGGCTGGGCAGAGCTGCAAGCCCTCTGAACATATTCTTTAAAAGTGGTGCCTTAGGTAATTTGTTGAAAGGCTATGATGGAAAAAATAGCTTTAGAGGAGGCACAGTGAAGCAAGATGGTGAGACATGCAGGGTCATTTTGCCAGGGACCTTCTCTCCGGTCCACTTGCAGTGTTAGAAGTTTACTTCCTTTGCTTAGGAATACAGCACAGTCCTTGTTACAATTTGTCAGACATGTCACTGGGCCAGGAAGCAGCTTCCTGAGGGCTTCAGGAAGGACTAGAACCTTTCTTTAGCTTTCTTTGGAGGAGGCATTCACCAAAGGCTTTGATGCAAGTGCAAACTGATCTGTCTGCCAGCAGAAGCAACAGGTGCATCACCTGAGTGCATCATCTGACTTTCTAGGCAAGCAGATGAACCCTACCTTTGGGCAGAAGACAGTATTTCCCAGAGCGGGGGCAATAGCAGGAGAAAATGGCCCAAAGGGAGCCTCCCTGTGAATCTGCAGTTCCTGTCTGCAAGCCTGTGGCAGAAACGTCAGAGAAGCAACCAGGTTAGGGTACTAGGTCCTGGGAGAAGCAGCTGTCATCATAGGCAGTCTTCCTCCGTGGGTCTGTAACATGTCTGAAACTTACAGAGGATATAGAGGTGGGAGATGAAAGGCACCTGACAAAGATCCTCCCTTCCTAAATGTCAGCAAGGCCTCTCTACGTTCTTTGTGTCTGGGCCATGTCCTTGGGCCTTGTCTTCACAAGCAAGGCTCCTGCTAAATCAACTTATTAAGAACCCTATTTGAACAAAATTCCCCACCTCCCCCACCATCCTCCAGCAGACAGCTGACCACCCTGGTCTGCCTGCCTTCAGCAAGAATGCTATCAGGTTGGTTTAGCCAACTCTCTGACCCCTGCCCCTCACTGACTGCTACTATTTCTTTTTAGTGCTTTTCCAGCTACAGACTACCACCCTGCTCCTAGGCTAGAGATTGTTTTTTCTTGTTGAGTTCAGAGTTGAGCCTATCCTATACTGAGGACTCTTCTCCCCATTGCAATAGTTCCTGGAAACATTTGGTTTTGCTGCCTTAGCACCATTAAACTCCAGTTGTCTTTGATGGATAAGCTGGCAAATGAGGTGACTATGGAGGATAACAGATATGGCCTGGAGCAAGAACCATGAGGAGGGATCCTTGACAGAAAGAGCCTGGGCAGTCTAGCTGAGACAGCATAGAAACAGGGCTCACTCAACTAAGCCCTGTTGAAGCTGACATGGATCGTGCCCCAGCTCCAAACCAGCCAGGAGCAAGGAGTACCCTGACCCTAACTGCAGAAGACCCCTTACTGCCTTGTTAGGGACTTTACCCACCTGCATGGCTGCCATCAATGTGACCCATATGTGACCTGCCTGGGGTGGCAGTAGTAAGCATCACCATTTTGAACATGCTGTCTGCACAGAACATTGGGTTGGATGCAAATCTAAGTGTCATGTGACAAGTGAAAAGCGCCACACCCAACTGCACAAAACCCTCTGCCCAGATGCCCATGTTGAGCCACTGAGGGAACCTCTTCTCATGGTGCTGTATCGTTTGTGATCAAGCCTAATCCCCACAAAACCTTGTCTGGGTTGCACACTGGTCTCTGGTCAATTTCCGTAACAAGGGAGTTCAAGAATCTTGGGTAGGTAACAAAGCTACGAATGATGACCAAAGTGAATGTCACATTTCAGTTCAATTAACTGACTGATTGATTGGCATATCTTTGAATTTATCTCTAGATAAGAATGCCCAACAGAAATATAATGGGAGTTACGTATAATTTCAGCTTCAGTTTTTTATTAAAAAATTATATATTTGAAGTGTGTGTGTGTGTGTGTGAGGGGGGTGGGGCACTGAGTGATCTCCCGTTCAATGGTTTACTCCTTAAATGCCCACAATAGCTGGAGCTGAATGGAGCCAAATCTAGGAGCTAGGAACTCAGTTCATGTTTCCCTCACGGGTGGCAGGGTCACAGTTACTTAAACTATTACTTGCTGCCTCCCAGGTTGCTCATTAGCAGGAAGCTGGGACAGGAGCAGAGCTTGTACTCCAATCCAGACACTGTGATAGGGGATGCAGGCATTCCAACAGGCATTTTAACCAGTGACAAAATATCCACCTTAATTCTCATCCCTTACCCCCACCCCCTTTCTCTCTCTCTTTCTTTTATCTATTTGGGTTTAATTTACTACTTCTTTCTTAGCTCCCTAAAGTGGTTTTTCAGGTCACTGACTTTAAGTGTTCTTATTTAAGAGAAATATACCCACTTTCAATTTCTTTGATATAGTGCTTTAACTTTATGTCAAAAATTTTCATATTGTGTTAGTATAGATAATCCAAATAGCATACAGGCCTGAGGTAACAGTGTTGGGACTCTCAATCAATACCACCAAACACCTGCTGTAGTTTCATTGTGTCTTCTACAAGTACTTGGCTTGTCTGATTAACACATTTTCTTTCATATAGAGCATTGGGAATCATTTCTTTAATTTTTTTTTTCCTAATGGAGAAAGATGCTGGTGTTCGAAAAAGAAAGAAGTCTTCAGAAAAAGTATTGAGTAAAACAATTTGCAAGTATAATTACAAAACATCATTGAGGGGCTGGCACTGCGGCCTAGCAGGTAAAGCTACTGCCTTCAGTTTCGGCATCCCATATGAGCACCAGTTTGAATACTGGCTGCTCCACTTCTGATCGAGCTCTCTGCTGTGGCCTGGGAAACCAGTAGAAGATGGCCCAGGTCCCTGGGCCCCTGCACCTGTGTGGGAGACCCAGATGAAGCTCCTGGTTCCTGGCTTTGGATTGGCTGTGCTCCAGCCATTGTGGCCATCTGGGGAATGAACCAGCAGGTGGAAGATACCTCTTTCTCTCTGCCTCTGCTTCTCTGTAACTCTGCTTTTCAAATAAATAAATAAAATCTTCTAAAAAATTATTGAAATCCCTGAAATGCAATGAATAGAAGTGGATAAAAGAGCAGGCAGCACCTGACATGTCCCAGGTGTAAAAGTATGGGAGAGACCTGGGATTAAACTGTGGCTCACTTCTAGCTCCTCTGTGGCAGTAAGCAAGGCAGTGTGCAGTGTTGAAACTGCTTTATCATCTGGGAAATGGAGATAATAATAATGCGTCCCTAACTTCTTTAGTACACGTTGTTCAAGTAACTCCAAGTCAAACACAAATATTCTGCTCTTATAAAATCTTGTTTGTCAATAAATTTAACTTGCTAACTAAAGTAAAAAGAAAACATAAAACAAGAAACAGATGTAAGTACATAGCACAAAGTCTTCTGGCTCATAGGAGACACGCAAAAAAATAAATGCCTTTCCTCTGCTTATCTTTTTAAAGTGGGAAAAAGAATCTAAAAACCACCAACTGGTTTAGCGTTTTGCTGCTGCCTAGAAAAATACACAAAATATATAATATTTAATTGATGACATAAGCAAACTGTATGAGATTTTTGAGCTAAGCTGAATTTACCAGGAAGAAATCACAGAGAGAAAATTTCATATCTCATAAGGGCGGATTTTTGATTGACAGACCATGCTCCAAGACCAACCTGCGGAAGGTTTGTCTTGCTGGCTTCTGTCTGGTTGCTGAGTGCAGAGCATTCCAGCTGCTTCCAGCAGGCGTGGGGGATCCTTTGTGACCATCTGAACAGTTACTATTTTTATTTTCCTCTTCTTCCTTTCTGCTGGGCTCAGAATCAGGCAGAGGGAAACAATGAATGACAAACACCCTTTACTCTAGCCTTCTACCTCTGCCTTTGCTGACTGCTGGCTTCTTAAGGACTAGCTTCCAGGTAACACTGCTATAGTAGACAAAGAACCAAACAGTGATTAGAGTTTCTGGCAACCACGAAACACATCAT